GGGGGGGGGGCAAGAACTTATGTTCCTTTGCCAAGCCCCCTCTCTCCTCTCCCCCTTTCCCTCTCCCTCCTCTTCTTTCCCTCTCACCTCTCCCCATCTCTATTCTCTCCCTCTCCCCGCCTTCTCTCCCCCCCCTTCTTCCTATCAAATTCAAGCCTTTCTGGGGCCAGTTAATAATAGCACATGCCTGACTTGAGCAAAACTTTCAGACAGTAGTAGTACACAGCCATCCTTGTTTGCACACGCTGCAGTTTCATCTGCTTCCAAATGCCCCACAGAACGATCTGTTTTTATTGGCCTTCAACAGTGTTAAGGCACTTTGCCCATACACACATCTCAACAATATAGACAGATAATAATTGTATGTAGAGGATAGGTCAAAATGACCCAGGCGCGTTTCCAGCTTCCGTGATGTGGCTTTTTGTTTCTTGTTTTGTTTTTAATTGGGAAGCATGCTCTAGGAGCCTTACATTAAGAATGATTGAGACATTTCCCCCTAGAGAAGCAGGTTGGCTTTGTGGAGGTGTCTGGGAAATAAGGTTGAGTAAGAATGTGCAAAGTTCAGGGCCAGAAGCTTTACAGAAGACAGCAGGTGGAGTGGGAAAGGCTCAGGACTTAAAAGTTCAAAGTTAAGAATTTCACTCTTGGCTCCGTCATCCATTGGCTTTGTGGCCTTCAAGTTACCTAGCCTGTCTGAGCTCTTCCTTCCCAACCTCAGCTGTAACATAATAATACCAGGTTCCATGTTTCTGAACCTATTTATTATCTCCACTGACTATGTGAACAAACTTATGTTTAAGAATTACAGTTCTTAGCTGAGTGCCAGTGACTCATGTCTGTAATCCTAAGAACACTGAGGTCTAAGGATTGCTGTTCAAAGCCAGCTAGGGCAGATAAGTTTGTGAGACTCTTATCTGTAAACAGCAAAAAGCCAGAAGTGGAGCTGTAACTCAAGTGGTAGAGTGCCAGCCTTGAGTGAAAAAGGGGAGGGACAACACCTGAGTTCAAACCTTAGTATTGGCAAAAACAAGAAAAAGAATTATAGTTAGTTTTTCAGAAAGGGAACTTAGGTTGCCTTTGACAACTTGTAAGTGACAAAGCAAGAACTGGAATGCAAGAGTCTAAATTCCTAGCCACAAACCTTTTTCCAGGGGGCTGGGAAGGTGGCTCAGTGTAGAGCGCTTGCCTTGCATGCATGAGGCCCTGGGTTCTATTCCTCAGTACCACATAAGCAAAAAGAATAAAAGCTGGAAGCGGTGCTGTGGCTCAAGTGGTAGAGCGCTAGCCTTGAGCTGAAGAGCTGAGGGACAGCACCCAGGCCCAGAGTTCAGGCCCCATGACTGGACCCAAAAAAAAAAAACCCACCTTTTTCCATTTCCCTATCATTTTGTGTGTTTGTGCCTGTGTGTGTGTGTGTGCATGCACGCACGCGCACCTGCCCACATGTGTGCACACTCTAGTAATGAGGCTTGGGTCCTGTCCCTTATCTTTATTCAGTCAAGGCTAGCCTCTACCACTTGAACAACACCTCCTCTTCCCTCTCCATTGTTTTTGAACATGAACAGCCCATAGATTTTGGTCATCCAATTTGTCATGTAGTATCTAGAAGAAATGTACTTTATTATTCATTGATATCATCGACTAAAGTTATTCTGAAGCAACCAGTTGACATACATTTTGCTCTGTAAAGGGTTAAGTTTTGCTTTTGCAGAGCTTGAAATTTTATCATGCAGGAAATGTTGATACAGATTTATTATTTGTCTTGGGAGTAGACAGTGACGGATATGAAATGAAACAAGTATATCCGGCTATAATTCTGATACACTTGAAAGGAATGCCACTTTGGAAATGTATATAATATACTTAATATGTATATATATAATATTATATAATACATATTATATTATATATAATATGACATCATAACTATATAGTGTAAAGTGATATAATCACACCAGGTGGAAATGGAAGTCAGAAAGTAATAGTGTAATATTTGTGTTGAGTATGCTATTAAATCTTGAGAAAGACTGTAGGGTGTCAGAATATGCTAACAACTGAAGCCCCCTTTTACTAGTTTATGGGCCCTTGGCTAAATTACTTAAGCTGTCAAAGGGAACCAGAGCTCTATCGGTCTTAAAAGGTCTTGAAGGATTAAATGAGCTGTGTGAGGATCACCTGAGGTACACTGGTAGTTGGCTTACCTTTCTCTCTTGCAACTTTGTTTCAGCATAGGTATACTTTGTTTTATGATATATTTCAGAAAACTGGAGATAAATCTACATTTTAAAAATGTTTATAGGTACTTCTATTCCAGAATCCTCAAATAACTTATAAGTAAATCACCACTCAAGTGAATTCACTCCTTATTTATCTTCTTTGCAAATCTGTATTTTTATATACAGTGGTAGGTTTTCATAAAGTAAAGGAAGTAAAACTTCTTGATTTGAGATTACTAAGGTTTATTAATCAAATCAACTTTACATCAGACTGAACAGCAGCTTTACACAATTGCTTCTCTTACAGAAAAATAAAGTAAGACCTGCTTAAGCCAGATGGTCTCTAAGCTTAATTTCTAAATGTGACCTTGAAATTTGTGATTTTAATCTTAGGCCATCACCATGGGAAACTTATAAATTTTTATAGGGCTGGAGCTGTGCTTTGTGTATTGGTATTGGAGCACTTAGGTGCCATTATAAGCACAAAGCAGAATTCTAAATGTAAAGGGTAAAATGACTGGCTGAAAGAAATGGACAGTTTTAACCATCTTTCCAAAGTAGAAAACAAATTTAGGGTTTTTTTTTCTTTTCTAATTGTATAATTGAGACCAGTAAAAAAAAAAAAATTGTAAGCTGTCACTGTACTAGGCAGACACACAGAAGTGCATGAAGGCTTATTCACTCACCGAGGAGTTTATATTCTACCCTGCAAATAAGATAAACACACTTTAGCTATCTAGGCAAACTAGGCAATGTATTGCATATCTTACAGCAGGAAAATAGTTGGAAGCATTTTATTTTATTTTTCCCACATAACTTTTCATCCAGAAGGCAGATGTAGAATTGAATAAGGAATTTTTTTTTCTTTGTCGGTTGTGGGGCTTGAACTCTGGACCTGAGCTCTGTCCCTCAGCTCTTCTTCAAGTGGTGAGCACTCTACCACTTGTGCCACGGTGCCACTTCCGGTTTTCTGAGTGGTTTATTGCAGATAAGAGTCTCACAGACTTTCCTTGCCCACGCTGGCTTTGAACCGTGATCCTCAGATCTCAACCTCCTGAGTAGCCAGGATTACAGGCATGAGCCACCAGCGCCCGACTAAGGAAGTTTTTTATATCTAGAAAATAATTACAAAAGACATAAACTTATCTGCCCAATTTGTTATCTCTCAAGTTATTTTAAATAAATAAATAAATTTGGATTCTTGCCAAAGAGAATCAAAGAGATGCCGTCTTCAGTTTCTGAAGAGTAGGTTTGAGAGTGCAAAAGACTTGCAAAAAAAAATACATTTCAAATTCTTACTCTGAAGCTTTAAACTGAATTATTCAAGTTAAAATAAATCCCCTGAGAGCTAACTATACAACAGTACAAAAACTTGCTTAGCTTGTTTTTAAAATACTGGGTTGGGTAGAGCAGGGGGTTTATACTTGTAATCCTAACCACTGAGTCTGAGATTGAGAGGTTCATGGTTCCAGGCTGGGCAAAAAGTTTCCTAGATAACAGCTGGCTGTGGTGACACAATGCCTGTTATCCCAGCCTCAGGACAAGCATAAATAGGACACTTAAGTCCAAACTGGACTGACCATAAATGTGAGACCCTATTAAAAACTAAGGAGCTGGATACCTGTGGCTCACTCCTGTAATCCTAGCTACTCAGGAGGCTGAGATCTGAGGATTGTGGTTCATAGCCAGCCTGGGCAGAAAAATCCATGAGACCCTTATCTCCAATTAACTAGCAGAAAACCGGAAGTGGTACTCTGGTTCAAAGTGGTACAGGGCTATCCTTGAGCAAAAGAGCTTAAGGATAGTACCCAGGCCCAAGTCAAGCCCCACATCCAACAACAACAAAACGTCTCTTAGATATATCTGCCTGGGCTGGCTTTGAACAGCATTCCCTAGATCTCACTTTCTGAAGTAGTTAGGCTTACAGTCTGCCTCTCTCAGTGCTTGTAGCATACATTGTTTAAGTGCTTTTCTGAGACTCGCTTATTTATTCAGCAATAAACAAACTAGTGATATAATTCCATTTAAATACTAATACTGTTTCCATTTTAAAGATAAGAAAACTGAATTTAGATAAATTGATTGGTTTCTATTTTCATATAGTAACAGGGTGAATCTTGCCTGCTTATTTTGTGTGTGTGTGTGTGTGTGTGTGTGTGTGTGTGTGTGTGTGTGTGTATGTAAGTGCCTGTATTAGGGATTGAACTCCAGGTCTGGGCACTGTCTCTTAGCTGTTTTACTCAATACTGGTGCTCTACCCCTTGAGGCACACCTCTCCTTATACTTTTCAGATGGTTAATTGGAGATAAGAGTCTCCTGGACTTTCCTGCCCTGCCTGGTTTTGAACCTTGATCCTCAGATCTCAGCCTCCTCTGTAGCTAGGATTATAGGCATGAATCACCAGCATCTAGCTTATCTGTCAGTAAATGTAACCATTGTGGAGCACAGTAGGTCTCAGCCCTCCAACCACACAAGATCAGCACCAGCACATTTAAATACACACAAATGCACACACACACCATTGGTTCTTCCCCCACATCAATATCAGTGACTTTCAACCTGGGAAGCTTTTGAAGTTCTCATTGCAAGGGTCTTTCCCTTGATCAATGGAATCAGAACTGGGAGAGGGCACATCTTCAGGCACCTGTGAGTTTATAAAGAGCATCCAGGACAGAACTGGAAAGCACTGTTGCTACAAACCACCTAGCATTAGATTTTTTTTTCCTTCTGTCTCTGGTATTTAGGCTAATGGTTTTAATTAGCTCCTTAGATGAGATAAAGGTCTTACATGCTTATTTATGGGTTCCTGCAAAATGTAACCTTGTCTGTTGAACACAAGAAACACTGGGGAAAAAATGTTGAATTACATATAATGGAATAGATTTCAAAGACATGTTCATAGTTAAAGAGCTTAAGAAAGTATCAACAGTGTGCTTCCAGTGGTTAAACCTTACTTGCTACAAAATGGCTTATGCCTGAGTTGTCTATTTTTATGCCTGATGAGTGTGTTTAATAATTTGTATATTTTGGCATTGCTATTTTATATATTTTTTATTTTTTCCCAGTCCTGGGGCTTGAACTAAAGCCCTGGGCACTGTCCCTGAGCTACTTTGCTCAAGGCTAGCACTCTACCACTTGAGCCACAGCACCACTCCGGCCTTTTCTATGTGGTACTGAGGATGAACCCAGGGCTTCATGCATGGTAGGCAATCACTCTACCACTAAGCCACATTCCCAGCCCGTTTTGAGTTAAATAGTAAGAATTGGATGGTTTTCTTGATTGGTGGTCTCCTGTTTCTGGTAAGGTTGAGTCTTTCCCACCCTTATTTCCTCATTTTTTTCTCCTTATTCTTTTGTGGCGGCCTGCCACCAGGCAGGTGTTGGTTCATCAGCTTCCTTGCCTTCTGCAAGTTCTTTAAAGCTGCAGTTCCCTGATTGGCTGCTTTTCTGCTGACTCATATCATTGGTTCCCCAATTCCTAGAGGAACCAAGGACCCAGTTAGGGGGCTTACGCTGGCAATTTCTGGTGATTGAACTTGGCTGAATGGAGGACAAGCTCAACAAAACAGGCAACATCTCACAAAACTCATTTTCACAGGGTGCCTCAGGGAGGATGTTAGAAGGAATATTTCTGCTTTGTAATCTTGTTCCTAATAGCATGGAAGACTCCCCAGCTGTTAGATAGATCACTGAATAGGAGCAGTTGAATTACACAACTGTTTCTTGACTGCCTAGTAGATTTGAAATATGGCATGAAGGGTTGTGGAGAGGAGTATGTTCTAGCAGTGTTTCTCAGTCCTTAATTTATTGTTCCCAAGCCCTAGGACCCTTTCTAGACCTATTTATCTTAGTTACCTCTCCATCGATGTACTATTTGCTGGTTTATATGCAGAGAAGTAGATCTCTCCCTCACTTTAAAACAGTGGGATTTTCCCCTATTCCAGGGGCCAGTTTTGAGTCCTTGGGGACACTATCTAAAGTAAGCTGCTTGTCAGCTCCTGGTCAGGAGGGATATATGAACATTCCAGGAGAAATTCCAGCATATATCCAACTTCAGTTTTGCTACCTAAGCTGACTAGGCCTCTGATTAAAGGCCTTTGGTTAAATGAGCTGTACCACAGTTTTAGTTATGAAGGTGGCAGAGTAATTATCACTCAGGGCCTGCCATACTCAAGGAAGAATGAAGTGAGGAAGCATGGTGCTAAATACACATGATCCATACAAAAGCCAAGGTAAGGAAAGACAGTGGACCACAGCAATCTAGCCTTCCTGTTATTTTGGAACTATAAATATAACACATTTTAATGCCAGTTATCTCACTTTTTGTGCCTTATTTTTTTCTTTTTGTTGTTCACTGTACAGGAAGCATCCAGGATGTGGGAACATCGTGACATTTGCACAGTTCTTATTTATTGCTATAGAAGGGTTCTTCTTTGAAGCTGACTTGGGAAGGAAGCCTCCAGCTATCCCAATAAGGTGAAGTGTCTAGCTTTTGGTCTTTTTTAAGGAAATTGAGAGGTTATGGCCATATGTGATGTTCTTTTCTCAGACTTACATCGAAGATGTCCGCAGAATAATTCAATTTAAAAGTTAATATATTTTGAGACTCTGGGGAGCCCACTTTTAGGATAAAAATCCTGCCCATTACAGGTAAAATAACTGTGATGGAGATAATAGTGTGTGTTGGGGGGACAGGAGGAGTAATGGGGTCAGTCGGAAGGCATAATTTAGCCTGGCACAGTGGTGTATGCCTGTAATCCCAGCAATTCCAGCTCTTCAGAGGTGGAGACAAAAGGATCTTGTGGTCCAACTGGAGTGTATAGTGAAACATTGTAGCAAAACAACCAAACAGAAAAAGAAGAAAAGTCTGATGTGAACACAAATTTGTAGTAGTTGTGTATCCCATTTCCTGTGATGGTATAGTTATAAGATATGCTAAGTAGTATTGTTGCACTTTTTTTTTTTTTTTTTTGGTCATGGGGCCTGAAGTCTGGGCCTGGGCGCTGTCCCTCAGCAATTCAGCTGAAGGCTAGCGCTCTACTACTTGAGCCACAGCACCACTTCCAGCTATTTCAGCTTATGTGGTACTGAGGAATCGAACCCAGGGCCTCATGCATGTAAGGGAAGCACTCTACCACTGAGCCACCTTCCCAGCCACCATGGCACCTCTTGAAAAAACCCTATAGATAATTATTAAGTAACATTTGTGTGTGTGCGTGGCCCTGGGGCTTGAACTCAGGCCTAACCACTTAAGCCACAGCTCCACTCGTAGTTTTTTTGGGAGATAGAGTCACATGGACTTTCCCGCACAAGCTGCCTCTGGTCAGTGATTCTCAGATCTCAGCCTCCTGAGTAGCTAGGGTTATAGGCATGAGTCACCAGGGCCCAGTAACATTTTTAACGCCTCCTTTCAGGTTGTGTACTTAACAAATTAGACGAATATTTCTGCAAAGTCTCTGGTGATTCAAGCTCTTCCCATGTTTCTCTGACTTTGTGGAATAGTTTTATATGCCTTAGTATTTGATTCACAAGTTAGTGGTCTTTTAATAGAGAAGAGATGAGAAAAATACTTTTGAGCCCCCACCCTCTCATACCTCTTTCCTTCTGTAATTGATCATCTTGAAATGAGTTGTGCGAGGTGCTGTTCTCTGTGTTACAGGTACTATGCCATCATGGTGACCATGTTCTTCACTGTCAGTGTGGTGAACAACTACGCTCTCAACCTTAACATCGCCATGCCCCTGCACATGATATTCAGATCCGTAAGTGCTCCTCTGAAAAGCAAAAGCAAGCAGGTAGACCCAATTTATGGCAGAAGCAGAAATGTCTTCTAATAAGTGAAGCCTAGGCTAGAAAAATAGGTTTGTGAATGCTGAGCATTTATCTAAGAACAAGGCTAAAAGAATTGTGAAAGTGGGGCTGGGAAGGTGGCTTAGTGGTAGAGCGCTTGCCTTGCACGCATGAGGCTCTGGGTTCGATTCCTCAGCACCACATAAGCAAAAAGAAAAAAGCCAGAAGTGGTGCTGTGGCTCAAGTGGTAGAGCGCTAGCCTTGAGCTGAAGAGCTGAGGGACAGCGCCCAGGCCCAGAGTTCAGGCCCCACGACTGGACCCAAAAAAAAAAAAAAGAATTGTGAAAGTGGATGGCTCTCTTTTATTGATCTCAGGCCTAAATATGTGATTAATTAAAAGCATTGTGGGCTGTACTTTTTGCCATCATAAAAACATCTGAACCTCATTAATTTTTTGTACTAACTTCCTTCATCCCATGTTTTCCCAGTATTCATGTTGGTATTCCTGTTGAATTATGCCGTGTTCTTTTCCTGGTGCACTAAAACTCTTACTCTTGTCTCCTTTTATAGGGTTCTCTAATTGCTAGCATGATTCTGGGAATTATCATTTTGAAGAAAAGGTAAGCTGTATATCCATAGACTAGGAATGCTGGGTTTCTTTTCCCTCAGTGTATAAGCTTGCTCTTGGCCATCTACCTTTTTTCTTAGTTCTTTCCTCTAAAATGATGCATAGTCATGAAGGTTCCTGAGGTCTCAGCCCTTCCTGTGATTCGGTGTAGAGCTAAAGCATTAGTGCCAGGTCAGTCTGTGGAACCAATTGATAGACAATTTAGCTGTCCAATATGGCTTCCACTGACCTCATGTGACTATTTACATTTAAGTTTTTTTAAGATAAAACAAAATGAAATACTTAGTTTCTCCATTTGACTTGTCCTATTTTAAAGGCTCAATAGCCACACATGGCTGGTGGCGGCCATATTTGGAAAACCCAGATCACAGAACATTTCTTGCAGTCCAGCTGTCTTGTGGGACACTCCTGTCCTAGCAGATGCTCACTGGTATAACATAATGACTGGAGAATAGTCACATGTACTAAGAATTCCCAGCAAAGGCCCAGTAGGCATGAAGGTGGAAGGGCAGGTTCTGGATGGTTCTCTGTAACGACCACCAATGCCACTCTCTGTATTAGAGGCGGAAAAAGGGCAGAAGTACCAAGGATGCTTCTTCGATGTATCTTCATTCTGAGTCTCGCTTCTCACTGCCAAAAAAGAGAGACAGCACATACAATATAGAAACTTTAGGGAGAAATTGACCGTCCTTGCTAAGCCCAAAATTGTGTAAGCTCATAATGACACCTTTTCAATATGCTCAGTACTCTGCCTCAGTATTAGAACTCTCCATACCGGCTGTTAGTTCAAAATGTCATAACCTGGAGCTCTTACCCAAGGCCATGTCATGACGGGGACCATTGTCCCATGTCACTAGGCTCCTTATCATGGGCACTTTTTCTCCTGAGGCTTCTCATTTCCCAGATCAGTACCACTGTAGATCAGTTTTTCTTTTCTGGGTTCTGTGTATTTGAGCAAACATTTGTGAAGATCAGATACTGGAAATGACCATTGTGCTTGTTGCAGCATTGAATTCCCTTTGAGAAGGAACTATCCTTCTCAACCTTTGATTTTAGTTCTAATAGGGATACAAAGAACTTATCCTGAAAGGAGCTTGGTTCTCTTGATAGTTCCTTAAAATGCCATTAGCGTTTCTCAAACATCTGTTTCCTTTAGTGACTTGAGTGTTATCTGAAGTAATGGAAGAAGTAACATTGATCAAGATGCATTATACTTATAAACTGATTTGTTGAGTTGAAACCCCTTTGTATAACTACTTACGATAAGGATAAAATAAATAAAAAGAAAGAAAAGAATAAAAAGCATTTATAATCTCTTTCTGTGTATTATCACCCACAGAGCAGGAACTTATATATAAGTTAACTATCTAATGTAATTAACTAGCATCTTGTCTTTTTGTCTTGGGCAACAGCCCTTTGGGTTTATACTTTGTGCTCCACATTCCAGAATTGAAACACCAAATCTTAAGCATGCCCTTTATAAATTTTAATTTCTTCCAGCACTTTCCTGAGACATTTCACTTGACCACTAAAAATCTAAGAAAGATGGTAATGATAGTATTTTTGTACTGTGACATGTTACAATAATTGCTGCTAATAGTTCTACCCCCATACACGTATCACTTTAACTACAGTATATCAGCGTTTCCAAAAAACACCTAAATTATTCAGAGACTTACAGTAAAGAAATGCCTTTCCCAGAGAACGAATATTAATGATTTCATAAGTATTGAATCGTGCTCCTTGAGCTTCATAGTCAGTTGTTCCTCTTGAGTGGCATGTGTGTTATGACTCAGTTTGAGCCCCAGTACAGCGAGAAAAGCCACTGGTCCCAGTCTTTTTGTTGTTGCTTTCTGATGAAACAATCCATCTGTTGGCATGGTTGGCTGTAAGCTGTTGTAAACAACACCAAGGAAAAATGTAACCTGCCAGCATCGTGTTTCCCTCGTGAAGGTACATATTCGTGTGAACACCTGTGAAGCACTTCTCACAGTGATAGTCTAGTGATTCAGACTTGCATGTATCATCTGACTGTAAATATTTGGAACTTTATGTATTTACTCTCCTAAGATGTTTTTGTTCTTATTTTTTTCAGATACAGCATTTTCAGATATACCTCCATTGCATTGGTGTCCACAGGGATATTTATTTGCACCTTCATGTCAGCAAAACAGGTGGTAAGAATCGGTTCTCAAATCATCCATAGTCACTTCTAGCCATTGGGGCCCATTGACCAAGCATTTATGAACTGTAACATGACTTAAAGGTTTATGTAATGCAAGAGCTCAAATCTCTGAAAGACAGGAGTAGAAGGGCAGTGGGTCACATACGTATTCCTCTCACATCTCAGCACATTCCATACAGTTCTGGCCTCTACCTAGTGTATTTTCTTCTGTCCTAGACTTCCCAATCCACCTTGAGTGAGAACGATGGATTCCGGGCATTTGCATGGTGGTTACTAGGCAAGTATAGTAATTAAAACAAAGCTCACGGCCTCTGCAGTTGTGTTTGCTGAGATTTCGCAAGGGACATGTCTGTTGGTGAGAAACTTAGGCTAAACAAATTACGCCATAAAAGAGAGGGCACTTGGGACCATATACCTCCGAACTTTAGTATTCAAGAAATAAAAAAGAAAAATGTCCACCTCATGGCAATGTGTTTATTAACAAAAGAATCCATGTCTTTCTTGGTGTTTTTGGTAATAACAAGAATAGATTAAAACTGACCCAATGGAAGTGAAATATCAATGAAAGAACCATGTCCCTCTTACTCTTGGCTTCAAGCTTTAGCTCTTCAGATGACCATTCTTAACATAGAAAGATCTCTGTAAGCTATTAGAAAGCATACTTTACTCAATTAATAAGGAAGAAATAATGTCTACTAATCTTACATCAACCTCACTAGTCCTATAATCAAAGAAATGCACATTAAAATAAAAAAAATACCTTTTTACTTTGGCCCAGTCATATTGGCAAGATGATAAGTGATTATTTTCATTGCTGCTGAAGGGTCAGTAAGACAACTGTTTTTGTATGAACTGTAGAAGTGTAATTGGCATAGCCTTTGTAGGAAAACATTGGGCATCGGGATTTTCAGACGTCTACAACCTTCAAATCAGTTTATGAGAATTTATGCTAAAGAATAAAATAATTGGCATTTAAATGTTTGTATACAGTATAATTATTTGGATTAACTCTTATTGTAAGATATTTAAGTATGGTACAATCATGTAATAGAATAATATACAGTCATTAAATCATACTTTGAAAAATTAATAAAGGATTTGAAGGAAAAAAGTTGTAGGAAAGGCAAGATATAAAAATGTATGTACAAGCTGGGAGCTGGTGGCTCAAACTTGTAATCCTAGCTACTTGGGAGGCTGAGATCTGCGAATTGCAGTTTGAAGTCAGCCCTGGTACAAAAGTCCTTGACACTTTATTGCCAATAAAATACTCAGAGAAAGCTGGAAATGGTGCTGTAGCTCAAGTGATAAAGTGCTAGCATTGAGCAAAAAGAAGCTCAAGGATAGTGACCAGGCCCAGAGTTCAAGCCCTACGACTGGCAAGAAAATATAATAAAAAGTATATACAAATAAGTATGTAGGAGAGATATAGAAAACTATAAAGAATTGGGGGGTAATACTGTTAATTTTTAAGTCTAAGTTTTTGTACATGTTCTATTAGTTTATAGTATTTTCAAGCTGTGAATAGTTATCTATCTTATCTATCTATATTCAATGCTGGGGCTTGAACTCAAGACGTCACACTTGTTAGGCATATGCTCTGACACTTGACCTACTTCATTAGCCTTTCTTGCTTTTAGATTATTTGTCAGATAGGATCTATCATTTTTGCCAGAGACAGCCTCAGACCGTGTTTGTCATACCCGTGCCTCCTGTGAAGCTGGGGTTACAGATGTATGCCACCACCTTTGGCACATTTGTTGAGATAGGGACTTTATCTGGCCTGGCCTCAAACCACAACCTTCCAGATCTGTGTTTCTGAATAGCTAGGATTACGTGTGAATCCCCACTCCCCAGCCCTTCAGTAGGAAAATGTGGAAAGTAACAAACACTGGTGTCTTCTAACCAATGTTTGTTTTCTAGGTATTGGAGCACTGACTTTTGCTCTGCTGATGTCAGCCAGGATGGGTATATTTCAAGAAACACTATACAAACAATTTGGGAAACACTCCAAGGAGGCTTTATTTTACAATGTAAGCAACTTCTTAATCTGAACAAGATGAAACTCCTGCCCTGCACTATGCTAGCTCGGGTGAGATTCTGATATAGTTGGAAGATCAGATTATTTTCAGTGGACAGCTTCCAGAGCCACAGACTAAAGTACTTCAGGTAGGGTGCTAAATCATAGTTGTCTATAGGAGGAGTTCAGGATCTGCAGGTTAAATGGCTGTTAACCAAGAGCAACACAAAGGGACAAGAAGCTCCTCCAGCCTCAGCATTCTTGTGGATGAAATCAGGTTCAACCCAACATGGAAACCTGGAAAGGAAAAATCAGTTCCAAAAGCAGCAGGCCAGCGGGACATATATGGACATCTTAGAGAGGGAGAGTCCAGAGGCCCACGTCGCCCCAGAAGGATTTATTCATAGGCTAGTTTAATGAGCTAATTATGTGTGCCTGAGAACATGAAGTACAGAACTAACACCTCTTAGAGTTATCCTCTTCTTTCTCCCTCTTTGCTATTGGAATATGCCCAGAGCTTAATGCTGAACCTCCTACTTTGTTTGTGCCTTTGGTTTAGAAAATCTTGGGTACATAGTGACTGCTCGGGAAGTATTACCCGAGTTTCATTACTACTGTCCTAGTGGGGTAGATGTTTGTGGTCAAGCACGTTAGCTCGCTTACCTACTGTCCCTTTCTTTCTCCTCTTCCTACTCTGGCCTTTCCCCTCACTTCAGCTTGATCTCAGATTTCTTTCCCACTCATTTCTAAGTTCTCTAAAAGCTGCCAACGTACTCCTTATTTATAGTATGTTTGCTTAACCTTTCTTAAAAATAGTAAACTGTGGCAAATCCTTTTGGCAGAAGACTGTTCACATTTCTCCCCCGCCTTTAATAGACAAAAGGATGCTGGTTCTTTGCTTGCTTGGCTTTGTCCATTCTAACCCTCAGAATGCTAAGAGCAACATCCATACTTGGGGGTGATGTACAGGGTCAAAGGGACAAAGACACTTAAGTCTAACTAGATGTGCTTTATATTTATCACCTTTCTAGCTTTCAACATAGTAGGTAAAGCTACTGTGATTATTCTCAAATACTGTGATTATTTTTCAATTTAACTTTCTGTAAACTATTTCTTTCTCTAGCACGCCCTTCCACTTCCTGGTTTTATTTTCTTGGCTTCTGATATTTACGACCATGCAGTTCTGTTCAACAAGTCTGGTGAGTCTAAGGTTATATGGTAGAGTTGCCTCCCAGTTTCCAGGGATTTCTCATTTGTCTGTTTTACATTTTTGTCAGTTATCTTTCCCCCTCTGAACTTCCAGAAGTGTCGATAGTGCTGTTAATTGGTAGTTAGAGCAGCAGAAGCTCTTATAAGCTTTCTCCATTATTTGCAAATGAAGAGAGTATCTTTAGTTTTTATTTTGCTTTGGAGCCTACCTGTTTGCCTTTGAACATAGAGTGAGATTTTACAGGGTCAATAACAGCACCTAGCAGAGACTGGAGCCCTGCAAAGTTGGGCAGCAGCCCATCTCTGAGGGGCTGGACATAATTTTCTGTTGTGCAAGGCAGAGCTGCTCACAGGCCGCCACTGCCTTGTTGCCAAGCAAGACAGTAGCAAATGATGACAGACCTTGTTTCCTAGTTACAGGTTAGACTAGCAACAAGGCTATGCAGAATTAGCTTCAAGTATCTACAGAATAAGCTAGCTATTACTTTTTTTTTTCTGTTGGTGGTAAGATTTGAATTCTGGGCCTGCTCTCTATCCCTCAGCTCTTCATCTCATCCACTTGGTGGTTAACTGGAGATCAGAGTCTCATGGACTTTCCTGCCTGGGCTGACATTGGACCTTAGTCCTCAGATCTCAGCCTCTTGAGTAGCTAGGATTATAGGTGTGAGTCACTGGTGCCCGGCTAGCTATTACTGGTTTTTTTTTAGGGGGGGGGCGGGTTGGAGGTGACGTGAGATGAGTTACTACCCTTTATTGAGGAGTGTATTATGGGCATAGGGCCCTTTTGCTAAGAGAGGGCTGAGCCCCAGCCTGGCCTTGCCATTGAGCCTCCTATAGGTCTTTTTTTTTTTTTTTCTATCCATTTAATCTCAGGCTGAGCATCTTCAATGGCTCTTGGAGCCTGGGGAACTTCCTTGGCCTCCATGTTCTTGAGAGCCTCTTCAGTAGCAGTGAGTCCCAAGGGATGGGTCACCTGGCACAACATAGCTATTACTTTTTAAAGGGCCATTTGATTAACTATAACTGGTCAGTCAACAAATGAAACTAGGTGTTCTGATGTTTAATTAATAACCATAAAGTGGTTCACAGACAAACGAACACACACATAACAAATAAGCACTTTTCTAATCAAGCTTATGTTCCTTCAGGGATAAGCGCATTTTGAAGAATGGTAGTGACCATCTAAGAACGTTGTGAAGTTATGACTGCTCTATGCCTGGGCAGCGTGCCTTCTGCCATTTTCCAAATTCTGTATGGTAAAAGTAGGGACTGTGTAAGGAAGTTTGTACGGCTCTGTATTACTCATAGTTGTAAAGTGCTCTACAAGTCCCCACACAGCCAGACGGTGGCTGATGTAGACTGAAATCAAAGCAAGTAAAAGGATGTTTGTTCTAAATCGACTAGCAAGGGAAATAACGCTACCATTTTTGTTACGCTTTGTCTGTGTTACCTTGTTCAGACGATGCAAAGTTCAGCTGTCCAAAAGTAATCTGACCACGGGGTGGGCAAGAAAGTCCGAGAGACTCATCTCCAAAAAACCACCAGAAAACCGGGAGTGGCACTGTGGCTTAAGTGGTAGAGTGCTAACCTTAAGCTGAAGAGCTGAGGGACAGGGCCTAGGCTCAGAGTTCAAGCCCATGACCCACAAAAAAGAAAAGTGATCTGACCATGTCCTCTCTTAATCTGTGCAGAATTATATCAAGTTCCAGTCATCGGTGTGACAATGCCTGTCATGTGGTTCTACCTCCTCATGAATGTCATCACTCAGTATCCTTTGGATTACTCTGTCATCTTTGTGTCACCTTTGTGCTATATCTTCTAACTGTGTGGCACATGAATTTGGTTTTTGCTGCAGTCAGTTGGAGACAGACACATCCAGGGAACTTCTTTGCAGAAGCAAAAGAGATAGAAGCAGTGCAGTAGACCAGTAAGCCACACAAAGGAGTGAAGTGAAGAGCCCATTGCTTTGTTAAAAACTAGAGTCTAAGCCAGGCACTGGTGGCACAACACCTATAATCCTAGCTACTCATGAGGCTGAGATCTGAAGATAGCTGTTCGAAGCCAGCCCAGGCAGGAAAGTCCATGAGACTCTTATCTTCCGCGCCACCCTCCCCCCCCCACACACACACCCAAAAGTGGTAGTAGCACTGTGCCTCAAGTGGTAAAGTGCTAGCCTTGAGCACAAGGCTCAGGGACAGCCTTTAGGTCCAGAGTTCAAGGCCCAAGACTGGCAAAAAACAAAACAAAAAAAACAACCTAGTGTTTTATTGTGAGCGATCTGAATGGCCTGTCATTTCTACCTGCAGTGTTGTGGTGTCCTAGGATGTTTCTGAAAATCAGTCGTAAGTGCCAAGAAGTTCTGAAAGAAATCTCAAATTCATTGACTTTTTTTAATTTTTTTGGGGGGTCGGTGGTGGGGCTTGAACTTTGGGCCTGGGCGCTGTCCCTGAACTTTTCAGCTCAAGGCAAGTGCTCTACCACGTGAGCCACAGCACCACTTCCGGTTTTCTGGTGGTTAATTGGAGATAAGAGCCTCACGGACTTTCCTTCCCTGCCTGGCTTTGTTGAACCTTGATCCTCAGATCTCAGCCTCTTGAGTAGCTAGGATTATAGGCGTGAGCCACCAGTACCCAGCAAGACTGAATCTTTTTAAATAGTTACTTTGAATGACTTTAAGTTCATTATCAAAATTGTAAAGTCTTCGAATAGTGAAATAGATTGAGAGGGACCTTGTTCTTCTGACGTCACCTCATGGGAGTGCCATATGGTTTCTTTCAGGAGAAGTAGGTGGAGAGACACGTGATGCTGGACGGCACCACCCTGCTGAGCAAATCACCCTCGAACCCAGAACAGTAACGGGAGGGTTTTAGGTAGTTTTGAATTGGGATGCATAAAGGGGATGGTGAGGCAGGATGGTCTGTGGAAGAGACTTGTGTTTTCTTCAAACGGGATCATGCAAGCTGAGAATTCATTCCAGAAGGTGTCCCATGTCTCCACGTACAGTTTACAGTTACCTTAACCCCACCCCTCCAGGTACGTGTGCATCCGGGGCGTGTTCATCCTCACAACAGAGTGCGCCTCCCTCACCGTCACGCTCGTTGTAACTCTACGCAAGTTTGTGAGCCTCCTGGTTTCCATCTGGTACTTCCAGAATCCCTTCACGCGGTGGCACTGGCTGGGCACCTCGTTTGTCTTCTGTGGGACCTTACTGTACACAGAAGTGTGGAACAACCTAGGGACTACGAAAAGTCAGCCACCGAAGGATGGCAAGAAGGACTGAGGTCCGCCTGCAAGATGGAGCAGTGTTGCGTGGGGGAGGCCTGCTGGTGGTCTGGCCACCGCGTCACTTGGGTTAAGTGGAGTGCTCCCAGTACTGAAGCAACGTACTCCAGGGGAATTCACAAGTAGAAGGCACAGCCGCGAGATGACCTCTTGTGGCTGTCTGCACATTTGCGGACCGAGTAGACATCCCTCAACGCTGAAGTAGACAAAAAACAACAACCAAAAACCTAGTTCTGCTCTATCAGACAGCCTTCACATTTGCTTTTCTGTTTCATCTACCAAAAGATTTAGAGCTGTATTTGTTGGTTAAATACCGAGCCCCAGGGCTTCTAGTTTGATGTCTGTGGCCTCAGAGAAGTGGCGGCTTTTGTTACGATTCTGACAGTTTTCTCCCATGACAGTCATGGCCATCCTTGGCCACATCCCATTTCCTCCCGTCTCCCTCCACTCCTCAGCAGCACTGTGCAGGCCATCAGAAACTCCAGCCACCACCGGCCACTGAGAAACCCACTGGTCAAGGGAACCAAGACCCCAATGGGGTTGGACAGGTGCTGCATGAGCCGAGCCCTGGTGATCCCAGAGCTCATTGGTGGGCCCGCTTCGTGTCTAGCTCCCCCTCCCTCATGCAAAAGTCAGGTGTTTTCCCTGTCTATCACTTTCTCTGCTTAGCGCAATCCTGCAGCATCTCCTGGCAATTAGTAAGGAAGATTGTGTGTGGATTGGGAAGTACAAGATAGGGATGATGGCCTGGACAGAACAGCGGCCCTGTTCAGCACCCCAAAAGTCACATCCTGTAGCCCAGGATGCAGGCCCCAACTGGGTAGGTGAGGCTGTGAGAAGTTCATAACTAGGAAACGTCTGCCTGGCAGCTTTGAGGGTCATCACTAGTCAGGTGAGAGATAGACTCACGATGTATTGTGTGTGTGACACAAGCAGCAGATCAAATCCTAGCTAGAGTTGAAATTTACCCTTTTTCCTCCCATGAATGTTCTTGTTGGGCAGTGTCAGAAAAGTTGTATGTACTTTGTACAGGTAGGAACATGCCTCTCTCTGCTGATCATTTCCAAGTCTAGTTCTCCTCTATGGAGGAAGTTAAGAAAGAAGAGCACTGTCAGCGTAGCACATGGAGCATGGACCTTGGTGCTTACCTAGGTCCTCATTACCCTTGCACAACTGCAGACTTCTGTCAGCAGCTAAACTTACTAGCCCCTTTTTTTATTTTTTTCAAGTATAGACAAAGGCCTTTCCTGTTTTGCTGGGTACAAACTGTGTTCTATGAGCCTCCTAGGCTGACTATTCAGAGATACAAAAGTCTGTAGTCAAAGTAATGGCAGTGAAGAGGTGTGTCCATTAACCCCGTGAGTGGGTTCAGGTGGACTGCCTCAGATTTTTGTTAGATATAAAATGCAGATGCTATTTCTCCACCTAAATCCCTGGGTTTGCAGACTGATTTATTGTTCTAATCATTGACTGCTTTCCAGTGCTAGTGATTTTTCTCAAAGTTGCTGAATTAGATGTGAACCCATTTATGGACTCCAAAAGCTATTGCTCCGAAACGGAGTTCCTTGGACTGATGGTGCTATAAATACTGAGTGTTAAATGCCCTCTTAAAAAAGAAAACAACAAAAGCTACTTTTCCCCCTCATTCTTATAGAAGAATTTGCCCCTAGGGGCTATTTGCCATATATCTGGAGTCTGGTAACTCCAAATAGGCTCTAGCCTCACATAACTCATTACCATCCTTATGTTGATGAGAAATAATACCGTTTATACTTAATGAGATCCATAGGCAGAATTTAACTGGGCCTAGCTGGACTTAGGTTCTGGTTTTAATGTGCTTATTCCTCTCAGGATGGATACTCTGCCAGTTATTAATAAAGGATATTTGTGTTTGTACAGCAAAGAGTGTTGAGGGAGCAGGCCTGAAATACTCCGTGAGTTTGGCTTTCTCCACAGTAGTTGGATATAAGGGAAGATAGCTAAATACATCTTTTTTGTTTACCCTTCTTTAAAAAATTTCCCCTGGCCTGGCTGCTTTTCAATACAGATTGATAAAGGCATAAAAAGGGTCAAAGGAACCATTTTATAGACGATCAGACTCACATAAATGGAAGAAATGTCTATTAAATACCTTTTCCTCTTTTGAGTCAAGATCACAGGATTTTGTGTGTTCAGAGCTCAAGCCATACTATTTGTTTATAACAGTTTAACATTTCAGGCATACACAATGAGTAAAAACCAAATAGCAGAGGACTCTTAACCAGAAATTGTACCATGCCCAGGAGACTGCAGCTTAGCCTCCTGGCAGGGGTAGTAGATGAGGTAACAGCGGAGGACAGTGGGTTATATTAATTTAACATCAATATATCATTTGCCAAAATTCTGTTATCACCATTTTTTTTTTGTGTGGTACTGAGGGTTGAATAGAGAGCCTTGTACATACTTTTCTTTTGTTGACTGTACTGGGGTTGAACCCAAAGCCTCAAGCTTGCTAGGCAGGCCCTCTGACACTTGAGTCACATCTCCAGCTCTTTTTTTGCTTTAGTTATTTATCAGATAGGGTCTTGTTTTTGCCCAGAACTGGCCTGGGAGGGAGACCCTCCTACTCATGTCTTCCAGCATAGCTTTATTTGTTGAGATGGGATCTGAGCAAACCTTTTTCTTGGGATGCCCTTGAACCATAATCCTCCCAATCTCTGCCTCCTGGGGAGCTGAGATTCCCTGACATGAGCCACCATTGCACATATTTTTCATTCTTCCTTACCTACCTACTGAAACTATTTATATGCTTAGTGAGTGTATATGGAGTTCTACAATATTCATAATTCTACATAATTCATAATTCTACATAATCCAAATAGTTGGTATTTTGTGTTTTGCCATTTTTTTCCTCCTTCCTATTCAGTTGACCAAAGTGAAATACTGCAGAATTGGAATGGAAACATTGAAAGCCAAGTTGATCTGTGTCACTCCATAAGGCTCCTCTGCTCTTCTGGGAAGATTACATGGTAACGATGGATTTTAATAAACACCAGGGGCTATTTCCTAAGCACCTTTCCCTCTTTTCTGCTTTATTTTTTCTACTTCCTAACTTTTCCTCCATTTCCTAGCTACAACCTTTATTCACTTATGTTTCCTACTAAGCAATAGCTATAACTATAATCTGTTTATGCCTCTATTCTTTGGGGCCTCTTGATGTTTTCATGGAGTTTTATAGGATATTTATACCTGTGAGGCACTCATTTTGTTTTATGTGCTTATAAGTATTGCTATTAAAGACTGTGGCCCAGCGAGTGTGGTGATGCAGCGTGTAACTTTAGCACTTGGGAGGTAGAAGCAGGAGGGTCACAAGTTCCAGGCATGCCTGGGCTACCTAGTGAGATCCTACCTCCAAATAAAACAACATGGTGTATATGTATGGATGAGAATGGCAGAGTGGATGGGTATGGGTGTGAAGGGTGAGTGTGGAAATGTGTGTATCGTCTGTGACGATCCAGTGAGGAGCTGAGAACCTTTGCCATTCCTTTCTGGGCAGCTCCTCTACCCTTCCCTTTGGTGTTTGGCTCTTCTTCAGCAGTTCACCAGCTAGTGCTGGTACTAGTAGAGAGAGGAAGTGAAAAACCAGTGAGCGTAGTCTGGACGGCTCTCCGCTGGACTTGTTGCATTGCCCTGAGCAGATGTACAGCTACACCTGGAGAGAAACCACATGGCAGAGATACAAAGCCAAACTCTTACATTTGCATTTTGTCTATTTTGGGCTTAAATGGAAGGAATACTGAGTAATTCCACTTTTATTAGATAACCAAAGCATTTTGGTTTCAATTGCTTACTCTTGTAAGTGGATTTCACCAGTGGCCTTTTACTTGTAGATTGAGACCTGTCAAGGTAGCTAAAATCCATTGGCAATTAGTCAACTTACATTTAAAAATACATAAAGTATTTCTAGGGACAAGAACTTGTATAAGCTCTAGAATATGATGACTAAAGCTGGGGTGAGAACCTGCCCTTCTGTGCTTTGTAGTGTGTTCCTTCTTTCTGGAAACTTCCTCCTTAGACATTCCAGGGATCGTGTCTAAAAAAAAATCACTGTACTGCCAGTCCCTAGCCTAGGGTCCGGCATGTTACATGAATAAAGGAATGCTTTCCAAGATTGCTTCCTCTTTCACATTCTTGAGAAACAAGCATTCCTAAAGGCTGTCCTTATTCCTCATCAGCTGGTTGGCCAGAAAGCAAGTAAGAGGAGAGAAACATTCCAGAGATTGCCAGCAGGAGCAGAAATGGAGAGATGCTGGGTGGTTGCTGTAGAGTGCAAACTGCTTCCCACTCATTGTCCTCTTGGTTGCCTGCTGCTCAGAAGAAGCCAGCACATCACAGGCCTCCCTCGTTATATCGCAGTTTACTTATTGCAGCGTCACTGTGGTGTCTTTTGTCATTTTTAAACAAACACATAAACGGTGATCCCTTTCGCAGGAGTTATGTTCCAGAGATCCTGTGGCAGGTGAGGCATCCCTATATCCATTTAGCCCCTTACTCAGGGAGAAAGTGGAAGGAGATAGCTGTCCGGTCATTAAAGTTTCTCCCATGATTCTGAAGCCGCCTTGGGATGATTAGCTTTCCCCCACCCTGGTCTTCCCCAGTTAGCGTGAGGGGACTGCTGCCTGGGGGGACATGGTTTGTTGGGGGTCACTGAGACACACTTTCCTTTCGCTTTACCTACCAAAATGGCTGCCTGTCCTACCGAAAGGCAAGCTACGAGGGGTCCTGAGATAGAAATAGAAAATTTAAAAAAATTGTGATGGGTGCTTTAGCACATGGGATTATTTTCATCCTTTGAGAAGATTTCTCTGAACCAAAGAGGTGGCAGTGGTTATTCCCTGGCCCCATGCAAACGTGTTGCTCATTATCACAGCTAAGTCCTGTGTCATTAATTTCCTTCCAGAGAATGGCCTCATCCTCCAAAAATGGAGATGGTTGTGAAAGTGTGCTGCTTTAACACTTTACAGGGTGGCGGGGATTTCATCCGGGATCTGAGCTCTTCATTGAGTATTACATTAGAAGAATGAAGGTGAGGGAGTAGAAAGGGAGGTAGAAACTGAGTATGTAGAGCAGCCAAAAGACAATAGTGAGTATTCAGACTCTGAGCTTTGCAAATATCAAACATCAGCTTCCGTCTTCTGAGCTATTTGAGCAGAGCCAAGGAGGAAAGGGAGATTTTCCTGAATAAAATGTTTTGCCAGAATGAAGGAGCTGTTTTGTCATTTCTTACAGTCATTCTTTTTACCTTTGAAACTTCACCAGACATCTGGGTTTCTCACATCTGAATCTGTGAGAGACTACTTCTCAGGCTCCGGGTCTATTTCTGCTTCTGAAATTGAAAGATCAGACTACTTTGGAAAGTTCTGGAGGTCTGTGGCAGTAAGGTTCCATTACAAATCTCTCCAACCCACTTAACCTTGACGGAAGTTACACTTGACTTTTAACTTTAATCATGCTGCAGTCACCAGCTCCCTCTGTCAGCATGCTGCTCAGACAGGAAGCAT